TTTTGGGCGGTCACCACCCGAGCAAACGACAAGACCATGTCCGTCGTCCATGTCGGACGCCTCGCTCGCGAGCAGCTACTGGAGCTTTATTTTCCTAGAGCTGGCGTCGAACGTGCTCGTTGCGCGCCTCCGGGCCGCGAACATTTTTATCACGGGAAGCAGAACACTGTTGAGCAGTCCCATCAACGCCTCGCGCATCGTCGCCAAGCGCCGTGCTCCACGCCTCGTGCATGCAGACACCAATCACGGAGCGAAGCCCAGGACACGCTTCTCAACACGGGCCATTTTAACTTTTACCTCTGGCGCACGCAGACGACACCATGACCACGTTCAACCAAGTCGCGCTCGGGCCCCACGAGCAGCTCGCAACATTCGCCGCCGGTGAATTCTGGCGCGCGAAGGACCTCATCAAGGTTGCCGGCGTACTTGAGGCGGTCGTCGGCTACACCGACGGCAAGACGCTCAACCCAACGCACGACGAGGTGTCCTCAGGCAAGACGGGCCACGCCTTTGCCGTCCAGATCAAGTTCGACGAAAACACGGTCTCGTACAAGAAGCTTGTCGAAGCGTTCTTTATGACCCACGACGCAACGGACAAGAAGGACACGGAATCTCCGCGCCGCTCCGGCATCTACTACCACAGCGACGAGCAGCTCAACATCGCCGAGGCCGTCAAGCGCGATGAGGCCGAGAAACGGTTCATGATGGAGCTCGAGGTCCAGCATGGTCCCGCTGAGATCTGGACTGAGATCAAGTACGCAAAACGCTTCTACCACGCCCAAGACAAGTACCAGCGCAACGCCACGGCGAACGAGCAGTAACGACGCGCCCGTTCACTCTGCGAAGAGCATTTACTGTGTATAGATATACGAATTCTGCATATAGTTCATTCCACGTTTAAGTACATTGGTATTTTACATAGAGCTCCTTCCCAACTTGGCGACGACGGGTCGAGTAACGTTTCCTCCTAGTGAGCATAGTGCTACGGTTGGGCGCTTTCGAGAGAGCCTGCGCCGAGAACATTGCGCGTGCTCGCAGCGTCCGAGGCCGCAATGAGGTCATAGAGCGACCCGACACCGTCGAGACCAATGAGTCGCGGAAGAAGCACGTCTCGCTGAGCCCGTGCTTTGGCCAAGCACTTCTTTTCTGCTGGTAGAATGACTTGCAGCAGCGTGACAACTTGCTGGAGCACGCTGGTTTGTAGCTTGCTATGCACTTGAAGCGTCGTTGTGATGGCGCCGACAACGTTGGCGTCGATCGCGCGGCTCGGTGCGAGGCCACTGCGAAAGCACGTGGTCGCGACGTCCAAGCAAAGCGTCGCGACGTCGAGCTTGGCGACGTGCCGTGTCCAGATCGCAGTCAACAAGGGCACACTGCGCAAGTCGTCGTGCAGGCACTTGGCGTGCAGGCTCAGGAAATGCTGCCACACACGCACGTACGCCGCCATGAGATCGACGTCGCCGAGGTTTGCGTCGCGGTCGCGCACCCATACCGTCAGAAACCGACCTTTGCCCACGATGTGGTGCAGCAGCGGCCGCGCCGTCATCCATTGTACGAGGAATCGCAAACTCTGCCGCTTGTCTTGTGATGACGCCGCGTGCGTAAGGACTTCGAGCAGCCAGCGCAGGGCCTCGGCGACGAACGCCTGGTCGTTGGCAGCACCTACGATATCGCGACATTAAACCATGTATGTGGAGCGAGACGAAGCACCGCACTTGCGGTGAGAATGGCGGCCCATAGCTGCATCAGTGACGCAAAGAGAGTGGGTTTTGGCGCAGTAAGGACCGTTGTCGTTGTCAGCTTGGTGATGGCGCCCTCAGCGACAAGCATCGTCGCGGTCTCAGCGTCCTCGGCGACGCTCGACCAGAGCGCAATCACGCGGCTGAGCTCAAAGTCGTTGAGCGTCTCGAGACGTTGTACTGGCAGTAGCAGCTTGGCTTTTGTGTACTTTTTTTCCAAGCTAGCGACTATCGACGCCGAGAGGCTCGCTCGGTCACCGAGCCAGCACCGATAGCGCTCGCAGTGCTGCAAGTATTCGAGAGCGCGGTCCGGGTCGTTGGCCACCAAGCTCGATTTCGACGCTTCCAAGGACGCGCTCATAATGACGAGCCCGCGCTGCACAAAAGCCGCTTCGGCCGCCGACCCAAGCCGCTCGTCTAAAAGCCGGTAGACCTCTTCGTGAGCTTCCTACAACCAAGCGCTGTTGAGCTACGAGAGCAGAGAACCGAGTGGTGTACGTGGGACCAGGCGACCTCACGCGACCCGAGCGACAGGAGAAGCTGGCACGGCGCAAAGTGGGAGGAGGCTTGGTAGCGCGCATAGGACGCCGTCGCGTCACTTGCGAGGGCGAGGGCGATGTCAATGTCGCCGGCTTCGAACGCGTTTTGCGCCGCTGAGAGACAGTGATTGCCCAAGACGAGATGCTCAAACGCGCCGATGCACTCGGCGCGGGTGTCGCCGGCGTGCTTGTAGGCGCTGGCGACCGACGCCATGAGCGCGCGCGCCGGCGAAAGGTCCGCGGTCGATGGCGCGAGCAGCAAGGCCGAGAGCGCGTGCATGCTCTCGTTGGCGGCGTGGCGCTGCGCCTGGCGCCGCGTGCCCGCATCGTGCTCGAGCTGCTCGAGCGCGCGCTCGACCTCTTGGAGCGCGGTCACGTGCGCCTGCCGCAAGTGCAAACTCGCATAGTGCTTGTTCTCGACGTGCTGGAGGAGGTCCAGCGTCCGCTTGGTCGCTTCGTCGACGTCGCCCGCCGCCAAGTGCTCGTGCGTCGCCGAAAGGAGGGCTTGGAACGCACTGTCCTGACTCGCGTCGAGGCGCAGCGAGAGAAGCTTGGCGGGCGACGATGGACGACTCAGTGGCGGTGGCAGCGGCGCCAGTGTTCGCTTCTTCTTGAGCTTCTTCGGTGGCGACACGAGGCCCAGCGCGCTCTGCGAATGAGGCAGCTCCTTCGGGGCGTCTGCCAGGTGCGGCAGCGACTGGGCGTGTCCAAGGCCCGGCAACGTCGTGCGCTCGTGCATCCTCTGTTGTCTAAATTTATCGCTGCACCTCGAGTATCGTTCTACCTATCCATCTAAATATCCATCTATCTATCCATTCCTCAATCCAGAGCGCAGCAGCCTTTCGCGCATAACTCGATAGGAGCGCTTCGCCTGGCTCGAGGCCACTGGGAAGAGAGGTTGGCCGAGTACAAAGCCTGCAGTCCCATCCCAACGGTTTGGCCAACGAAGCCCCACCCGACCTCGCCTTGCCACGTAGTTTAGTAAGCTGTGCTTGCGTCACCGACGTCCCAAGGGTGCAGCTCTCCAGAGTCCCTTGGTGTCTTGGCCGCAATGCAGTTGAAGACAGACACACGTCATGAGGAGGTTCATTGCTCGATCCCTACTTTTCAAAGCTGCCGTCAAAGCCCACAAAGCCGGCCATGAGGAAGATGTAGTAGAACGGCTTCTTCTCAATCTTGGAGCACCAGTTCCACGCACTCGTGAGGCGGCCGTCAATGCACGAGCCTGCATCAAAGAAGTTGTCGGCGCCGCTGCCGTCAAAGCCGTGCTTGAAAAAGTCACACAGAATCGTCTGCCGGAGCGCCTCGGCGCCGCCCATGCTCGCAATGTACACGGCCGTGTTGGCATCGTGCTCCATGCGTCCGATGAACTCGACGGTTTGGACGATCGGGCTCAGAATCCGCGACACTTGGGTGTACTTGTCGATAAACATGAGCGCGTTCGGCACGTTGTGGTCGCCGAGGTGGATGACGCTCGAGCCCACCCAGCCCATCGACGACGCCTTCTGCGTGAGGTGCAAGATGGCGTGCATGCGCGACGACGTCTCTGGCGCGCGCTGCATGCGGTTGAGGCCTTGGCCCGTATCCTACATATCACACCGGTCAAAACCCCAACGTTGGACTCAAACACCGTACACGAAGTCGGTAGCCGCCGCCGTGCAGCAGATCGTCCTCGACCGCAAACCAGAGCGGAAACATCTCGAGCGTAATGTTCTTCCAGAGCGAGAGCGACTGCATCGCGTAGGCAAACTGCGTCTTGTGGTTGTGCGTGAGGCGCGCGCCGTTGCGGCCAGCGCGAATGTCGAGGGCAAACCCCCCGGACGGCGTCGCAAAGTACCGCTCGAGGTACGCTTGCATCTTGGAGATCGGGTCGCAGTTGAGCGCGAGGTAGCTGTTGTTGTCGTCGATCGATGCGAGGCAGAGCCGGATGTCGTCGGCCGTCAAGTCCTTGGTCGCATAACTAGACAGATAACGTGAGCAATGGACGAGCAACTCGAGGGTGTTCTACTGGGCGACGAGCGACGCGATCGCCGCGGCCTTTTCCTGGCGCTGGACAGCAGCTTGGGCGCTCGTGTCCGAGATGGACCGCGTCGCAACCGGGACGTCGGCGTCGAGGAGGAGGTCGAGGCCGTTGCGCGCCTCCAAGAATGAGTGCACCGTGTGCGTATCTTGAATGCACGAAAACTCAAAGTACCCTTCGACCTCCTGCATGCTCGCATCTTGCAAGAGGTAGATCATCTTGCCATAGTTGTTGCGCATGCGCTCTAGGGCAAATGCACGTGAGGCGACAGGCCAGATGGAGCGAGGCCGTACCGGGGTTCATGACCTTGTAGCGACGCCCAATCTCAAAGACAGCCTTGAAGAAGTCGGCGTTGTCCATGTAGGCGCGGTCCAGCACCTTCTTCTTGCCGTTGCGAAAGTCGCTGGCGACCATCATGCCCGACATGATGTTGAAGAGGTCCGTGAGCTCCGTCAGGATGCGCTTCACCGGCGACCGGTACGAGAGGATGTCGACCTTGTCCGTGTACTCGGACACATTGAGCGACGCGTCCAGAAGGTTGAAGAGCACGCGCTCCCCGTCGCTAAGGCGCATCGGAATGTACTTGGCGCGACCGGCCAGCACCTGCGCCTCTTTGGTCGCGACACCACGCGCGACCTGCGGCGCCTCGCTCGTGTCGCCCATCGGATCGTCGGCGGTGGCGATCGCGATGCTTGCAGGTGGCGGCGAAATCGTCTCGCTCGCCGGCGGCGGCGTCGGGCGCGCCGCAGTCGACGGCGCAGGAACGCCGACCGCCAAGGGCGTCGACTGGTGTTTCTGCCGGTGGCCCGAGCGGTGCTGCGCCTGGTAGCACAGGTCGCAGTAGACGTCGCCGCAGTCGGAGCACGCGAGGGCGGCCTCCGTGTCTTCGCACTCGACGCACATCCGAGCGACGGTCATCGTCGCCAGATTTTGTCTCTGGGGCCACCTGATTGTCGCGAATCCGGATCGGGATTTCGTATCCGGACAAAACGTTTCCTTCGGTTTTGCAAGTCCATGCAGCCGAGGGCGGCGCCGGCGAAGATGACCGTAGGACGGTCGCGCCGAGCGATATCAAGGACGACGTACACCAGGCTGCGGTGCACTCGATGCATTCGCGTCGATCGGTGCCAGCTTGACGGGTGGCCATCGAGCTGCGCGTAGCGAGCATCGATCCATTTGCTCGTCGCGACGCTTCTCGCGGCGGATGGGGCCACCGAACACCCAAGCGTCAGAGCAAGACAGTACGCTCAACACCGACGTGTACGTACTATGCAGCGGATCGAGAAGTGGGTGGCATGCGACGACGTCGACGGCCTCTTGTCAACGGGCTGTCCAGTCCCACATCAACCGACTTCTCATCAACCGACTTCTCACGTTCGACAATCAATGCCCACACGCAAACACTGCGTATCCGCCTTGTCCCAACCAAGCGGTGCGAGCCACGACACTAGGCTATATAGCTGTGTATAAAACGAAGAGATCTCACGTCTCGCTGCGCAGGTCCACGAGGAGTGCGAGCATGTTGTCAGCGCTGCCGCGGACGTAGGCCTCAATGACCAAGTCCTGTGCGATCTCGTACAAATCGTCGCGGTCGAGGCGCTCAAACACAAACCGCCCGGCGTCGTCGTTAGAGACCGTGTCCCAGACGCCGTCGGACGCGAGAACAATAAAGCTCGCGTCGCTCGGGTGGGCAAAATGGAGGATGCTCGGGTCGTGGCTCACATACTGCCGCAGATGGCGGTCGCCCAGCGTGCGCGACACGGCGAGTTGGCCCATGACGCGCCAGACGCCAGCCATCACGATAAAGCCTACGCATCGAAACAGGACCATAACAGTTTGTCGATCTCTTCTCTTCGTACCGCCGCTCGACTCGATGCGGCTGCGCTCGTCCGGCACGTTGGGCAAATGATCCACCGATATCGCTGAGCTCAGAGTGGCGTTGTGCGTGTAGAGCACAGCGCGCGAGTCGCCGACGTTGGCCGACACAAACCGTCGGTCGTCCGGAAAGTGCAACAGCAAAGTCAGCGTCGAGCCTACGGGCTGCCACGTCATAGCGATGTTTTCCATCAAATGATGCACCAGAAAAGTCGCTGGCACCGCTTGTCGCGAGGAATCCACTGTGCAAATCGGCGAGCGCTTGGCGAATCGCAAGATCTTCAGCGACCGTACCGTTCATCAGCGTCTTATAGCCTGCTTGGCTCGCCTACGCATGGGCATCTGGACTGTGCCCACGTTTCGCAACATACCTGAAGGTGGAAGCGCAGCCGGTCACTGAGGTGCTCCTTCGCATACGTCACGGCACCGTGACCCATGTGGCCGTCCAGTACAGCGTAGAGGTCGTAGTTGGTTCCACTCTCTCGCCTCTACACCGATACATGATAGCGCGCTCTCAAAGTCGACAAGCATATCGTACTGGCACCACGAGCACCATGTCTTCCATGTACTGGCGGCGTCCGTGGAAGGCGCCGGTCCCGGCGTCGAGCGTTGTTGCCGGCAACGACATTGGTGGCATTGCATGCCGAATCGAGTCCGATGCATAGTGGCAAAAGGCACTTGAAGCGTCGTGGTGGCGGGCGCGCAGGTGGCGGGTGCAGGCGTCGACGGTCGCAAAGTGCCGCTTGCAGTTGCAGTGAAACGACGTCGGAATGTCGCGCACATTGCGCAGTACAAAGGACGTCGAGTGTCGCTGCGACTCCAAGTACGCTTCGTGGACCTCGAGCTCGCGCCGCGTCGAAAACTCGCGGCCGGTCTCAGGGCAGACGTACGGGCCTTGAAAATACGCCTACAGTCAACAACAACGACACTATGGCTCCACCACATGGAAAAATGTACGTGCTCCAGGGCGTCGGTGGCCGAGATGCGCTTGGCGGGGTCCCATTGCAATAGTTTATAGAGTAAATTGAGGCCCCACGCATCTTGGAACCCCCGCTCGAGCGGATCCCGCGCTTGGATTGTCTTGTTGAACGTACCAAAGTTGCAGTCGCTGTGCACGAGAGCATAGTCGTTGTGGTACCGGTACAACGACGGCGGTTCGTAAATGCAAAACTCGGTAAACACATGCAGGAGGTAGCTCTTGCGCTTCGTCTCGTCGCTCTAGTAACCCATACGTCGTGGTAAGCAGAGAAGCGCGTGCGTACCTTGTGCTGGAGATGCACATCAAGCTTGGCGCGGGCGCGGGACGTGATCGCAAAGACGTGAGGTGAGCCGAGAATGAGCTCCAGAAACACGACGCCCACCGACCACATGTCGTACGACGTGGGCAATGCCGGGTCGTATGGAATATCACCGTGCAAGAGCACTTCCGGCGGCTGGTATTCGCGCGTCTCTTCGGCCTGCGACGGGCCTCTCTCGCCGTAGAGCACCTTGTTGGCGTACGTGTCGACGGCCGAGCCAAAGTCTACACTTCTGCAGTCTAGCCTTCCAAGTAGGGGTAGGGTACCGGCCAGCTTGACGAGCACGGGGGTGTCTTGGTTGTTGACCAGAATGTTGGAGGGCTACAGCCAGGGTCGTCGTACGAGCTGCATCGATCGATATGATACCTTGATGTCACGGTGGACCATGCCTTTGGCGTGCACGGCCGCAACGCCTTGCAGCAGCTGCCGCATGATCTCTCGGAGCACGTCGGCGCCGCCTGGCTCGACGCGCATGCGATGCCAAAACAGCTACGTATGTCGTATCTCATGGCGGTGTGATGCTAAGAGCGCTGTACCGATGGCTGTACGAGCACGGAGGCCGACGCCCGCGTGCTGCTGTACATGTAGTGTCGCAGCGAGATGCCTTCTTCATAAAAGACGAGCCAGAGTTCTTGGGTTGGAAGAGACCCGTTCGCAGGGATCGGTCCGTCGCGGTAGAAATGCTCAACAAAGCTACAACACCAATGAGTCATGCTACGTCGGAACGTCATCGCCGGCGTCAGCATCATGTACCGCGTCACGTGGGGTTCGTTGCGGAGACGCGCGCCAAAGTGGGCTTCCCGAAGTCCGCTCTGTAGGATGTGGCCGCCAAGCTCCTACGCACCGCAGTGAAGATGGTTTGCAAAGAAGATGCGCGCTACGGCGAAGACGCGCTTGAGGATGAACGGCTCGTCCTGCACGCTCTGTGGGTCGATGCGGACGGCCCGCCACACCTCGCCGTGGGCGCCACCTGCAAACTTCTACCACGCGCAAAAGTTGTAGGTGAGGAGGCCGTGGTGGCGTGTACCTTGCGCAGCCGGTAGTTTTCGTTGACGTAAATCGAGTCAATGTCGTCCGTGATGCATTGGTACTCGAGCGACGGCCCTTCGAGGCGCAGGCTCGCGGCGTTCTCGCCGCCCGTGAGCTGCTTCTGGTGCACCGGCACTTCGACGTAGTGCGTCTGGTGCACGATCACACCCGACTCGGGGCGGTTGCGATCCGGGCCGCACACGCCGAGCAGTGCCGTGCGCTCGACCAGCTGGTAGTTGCGCACGGCGTCGCCGGGCACCATGGCTTCGACGACCCGGCGCTCCATCGGAAACGAGGCAGTCGACGGCGTCGGGTACCGTTGCACAGCGGACGTCGCCGCGTCGTCCGCTGCTGCACTGACCAGCGCGAGAAGTGCCACGGCCCGGCGTGCGAGCATCGTTGCAATCTTGCCAATTCGGCATCGTCTTGGTATCTTTCGGCATTGCACATGTCGCAATATGCCGAATATAATGGTACACGCGGCATATGCCGACTTTTCGATGGAAAGGTCGCACAAGATACGCCAGCATCATGAAGTGCATTGTGGTGCTCGTCTTCGCCGCGCTGGTCCGCCTCCATGCGCAGTCGCTCTCACAGGTGCCATTCCGGACCGTCGAAGGTACATCATCTGCATGCTGGACGAGAAGCACCGAGATGTGCGCGTAGCGTACTGGTCCTTTGGCGACGGGCTCAACGACTGGGCAACGTCGTCGACGGCCGCGATGGAGGCCGAGGTCAACGTCAACGGCGGTCTCTTGCACGGCGTGGCACTTGGCGAGTCGCCGTACATTGACTCGCCGCTGCTGGAGCTCGTGGTCGACGACCGTCACTACCTCGTGCTGCGCATGGCTT